TAATTATAATTAATTAATATAATATAATATATAATTATTATATAATATATAGTCATTTATAAGTGATATATAATTGTTAACGAGGGCTGGAAGGGAAAAATGTTTTATATTCAGATGTGCATAATTATTAATTTTTAATAATTATTATTATTATTATTTATTTTTTTACAGGTGAAATGGGGCAAAGAGAGAGAGAGACAGAGATATTGTTGGACATTTTTAATCCACATCAAGTGTTTAGGTTGAAATTTATATGAAAGTACATGTGTTAGTTTTGAAGTTTTAACCAATTTTTAATAACCTTCAGTAGTTCATAGTAAATGGTCTTTTGACAAAGCACAAATGATTTCATGCGGCCCATTACAAAAAGATGTCAACCTCGCAAAACTGTTTCCCGTCCAAAACTCCCCACATTCCCGTCACAGATGACCTCTGACCTTCAGCGGATCTCACACACACACACACACACACACACATTTTCCCAGCACTGCTCTCGTGGGAGTCGCTGTGACCCTGAGCTCTTATCGGCTCACATACGCCTCTCATTAAACTATCAGCTCACATCAAGTGTAGGTTAATCAGCCGACGATTTTAAAAAAGCTAACGTTGAATTAGACAAAGATTGTGTGATCCTGTTCTGCAAAAATGCTTGAACTTTCACTTCAAAAATGCTTAAATTGTATAATATTAAAGCATTTGTTACACACACACATTTTCCCAGCACTGCTCTCGTGGGAGTCGCTGTGACCCTGAGCTCTTACCGGCTCACATACGCCTCTCATTAAACTATCAGCTCACATCAAGTGTAGGTTAATCAGTTAAATTGTATAATATTAAAGCATTTGTTCATATTTTTATTAGCTTTTACATTTTCAGATTTCGCTTTAATTTTAGTTTAAAGGTTAGTATGTTTCTTATGTAATTTTTAATATTTCTATTTAGCTTAATTTTTTTTATTAATTTTAGTTGCGGTAATTTTAATACTTTAACCTAATCATATTTTATTTCAGTTAGTTTCCGACATTTCTACATTTTTTTTTGTTTTAATATAATAATAATAATAGTAATAATGTAATATTATTCCTCATTATAAATTATAATAAATTATTTTTTATAAAAAGTATTTTTCAATTATATAATATAGCTTTTGTTAATATTTTTAGTTGCTTTTATATTTTCAGTTTTTACTTTAGTTTTAGTTGCAGTAATTTTAATACTTTAACCTAATCATATTTTATTCCAGTTTGTTTCCAACATTTCTAAAAAAAATGTTTTATTATTTAAAAAAACATTAAAAAATTATTTATAAAAATTACTTTTTAAATTATTATAAATTATAATAAATGTTTATAATATAATAATTACATACATTATTATTATTATTATTATTTATAATAACTATTTTCTTATTTATATTATTTAATATAATAAGAATAAGAATGTAATATTATTCCTTATTATAAATTGTAATAAATATTTTTTTATAATAAATATTTTTCAATTATATAATATAGCTTTTGTTAATATTTTAGTTTCTTTTATATTTTAAGTTTTTACTTTAGTTTAAGTTGCAGTAATTTTAATACTTTAACCTAATCATATTTTATTCCAGTTAGTTTCATCTAATATTTATAGTCATATTTTATTTCAAGTAATGAAATTATTTTTAGTAGTTTTAGATGACAACAAAAACATTGACACTTCAACTTTATTCATTAGAACTTTATTAATTTGCAATTATTATTTACACAATGACAACAGGTTGTTCAAAAAGCTAAAAAAAAAAAAAAAGCTAACGTTTAGTCATCGAGTAAAATTTTAGTTTAAGTTTTAGTAATTTTCTTATGTGCTTTTGTCATTTTTATTAGTTTTTTCTTTTCTATTTAGCTTTATTTTTATTGCCATTTTAGTTTTAGTCATTTTAATACTTCAACCTAAACTTATTTCATTTCAGTTAGTTTTCAAGGCATTATTTCTCATTTTTTAAAGCTTTTTAAATTTAATAATTGTATTTTTTTTAACGTTTCTTTAATCTAATTGTTATATTCTTTCAGCTCTATTTTAAATAATGATAACGGTTCTTAATAGTTTCAGTTCACAACGACAACACTGGCTGAACCGCTTCAACTTTATTTATTATAACATGATTATTTACACAATTTTATTTTTTTATTTATTATTTTGCATATTTATATATTTTTTACAAAACACTAATGGGATGGAGACTGATATTGAGGGCACAGGGAAACCTATAAATTAATTACCAGCTTAATCAGTATTCCCAAGAAAACATGCTTTTAGTCTGAAAACATTGTGATTAGATGTAAAAATGATATTTTTCTTATTAAATTGCCAGTTTTTTTCGTTGTCAGAGTTAGTGCAGCACCCGGAGACTTGAACATCCACTCCAAACAAATTATTTATAATTCAGTTTAATATTTCATCCTTAATAAGACCCGAGAAAGCAAGAAATTAAAAAGATGAAATGAGCTAGAAAACAATCAAATTAATCAATTAAACAAAGAGGAACACGTCGAACAGAAGGTTGAATGTTTGATTCATTAACGTTTGATCTTTAACTGTAGCATTAAACCTGTTTAATATGAGATGAACAGAGAAACACAATAGAGCTCTGAATTCAGCATGAATTGATTCATAATTGCTGTCAAGAGGGTTTAACTCATTTCTGATCTCTAATGCAAGTAATCCGTATGAATAAGCTGTCATTTCTGTTCATTTCACCAGCCGTCATTATATCATCAGTAAACACATGATACATCAGCAAAAAATATGTATATTAATATTTGTGAATATATTTTCTACCTATATATATTTTTTTTTTTTAACTTTTTTTTTGTATATTTAAAAAAAAAAAGTATAATTTTTATTGAAGTTTTAATTTTAGTAATTTTAATTTTTAGTCAATTTAATTTCAGCTAGTTTCCAAAGAAACATTTCTGATTTTTCTAATTAATAATTTCCTTTTTTTTTAATCTGACATTTATGCTTTATTTTATTTTAATTGTTTATTTTATTATTATTATTATTATTT